GTGGGTTTCCAAGACAGTAACTCTTGACAGGAGTAGAGAGCCTCATCTTTCTCCCGGGGAGCGGCTGGTGGTTTCGAAAGGCTGGCTTTTCAGTCAGCAGCCAAGGTCTTTAACTGCAGCAAGAGCAGAGTAGCTTCCACAAGATGTTGGATAGGAAGTAGAACACAGATTGGTTTCTGACACTGCTGAGATGTTCACTCTGCCCGCCTGCCCGCCATCGGACGAGAAACAAACCCGTCATTGTTACTGCTACTAGTCAAATTAAACTGCCCTTACCTCCCCACACATTATTCCCAGCCTAAGTAAACGGCTTAGTGCGCTATCTCTGATCAGGCGAATCGAAGCATGGAGACGCTCTGTTGGTTGAACACAAGCGACACTCCAGTCTTCAGGTCTGGCTGGAATCAAGGCAGACCCTTTGGGGCTCACTGAAAAGAAATCTGGTTCAGGTTAAAGACGGCAGCCCAAAAGTGGGCTGGAATTGTTTTGCCCGGATAACTCTCCTTTGATATAAAATTACATATGTGTGCAAGGGATCACATGGTCCTACGATAACATAAATGGCCACGTTGGGGAACTGCGTGTGTCTCCTGAGAAGACTTTCTACCCCTAGATAAATGGGTATCCAGTGCCGACACACAGCGTGGTGACACTGTCCCCGTGGCTCAGCACTTCAGTCTCAAGAAGAGACTTCCTATGATGTCAGGAATTCGTGCTGATGGCATTCCTGGGGAGGACAGCACTCTTCTGGGAATATGACCTGGATTCTTCTAGTTCCAACTTTCCACCTTTTGCTGCGGGGGTGCAAAAGATAACGACACACTACAAGACACTGCAAAATAGTACAAGGTACTCCACCCTACCACGGGATACTACAAGATGCTACAAGATGCTACGAAAGGAAAGGAGTCGCCTTCCAGTTAGTGCTGACCCACACCACGTGGGTCAGAGGAGAACTGGGGTCCGTAGGGTTTCCATGGATGTGAGCTCTCAGTAGCAGGATCGCCAGGCCTGGATTGGGAGGCACCTCAGGGTGGGTTCCAACTGCCAACCTTTTAGCTAGGAGCCCAGGGATTCCCCATCTTCACCAGCCAGGGATTCTGGCTGAGATTCCAAACCTGTTTTCTCATGGATAACATGAAGATCCCTCCCTCCGTCTGCCATCAGGTAGATGCTGACTCACAGAGACCCTCTAGGACGTGGTAGAACTGCCGCTGTGACTTTCTGGGTCTGTAATTCTTGACGATAGTAGAAAGTGCAGTCTTTCTTCCCAGCAGAGGCTAGGAGGTTCAAACTGCCAACCTTGCAGTTCGGAGCCCCATGCCGTATGACAGGTGGATGCTGGGTACTCTCTTTACTGGGAGTCATTTCCAGCACACGCGTGAGGGCAGTGTGGACATGGAAGTCTGCTTCTTCCAAGGGGAAAGGAGGAGAGAAGAGGCCCTGGTGGCAGTCTACTCATCATGGGTCCACATGAGTCCCCTATGTCCCTGAGTCTCTCCACCTCACCCACCACCCAAGGAAATATAGACAAGGGAGGTAGTGGAAAGGGAATTGGAGCTTAACTGATGCTGGTGGAGACAGAGAGGGACATGTACAACATTTCTTCCTGAGTCTCAAAGGCCGCCTACTATGCCTCAGGCTGCCACAAGACACTGTTATTGCTCTTAGGTGCCACCGAGTTGGTTCCGACCTATAGCGGCCTTATGCACAACACAACAAAACACTGCCCAGTCCCGTGCCACCCTCACAACTGTTGCGGTGCCTGGGCTCATTGTTGCAGCCATGGTGTCAGTCCATCTACTGGAGGGTCTTCCTCTTTCTCACTGCGCCTCCACCTTCCCGAACACGATGTCCTTCTCCAGGGACTGGTTTCTCCTCACGCCATGTCCAAAGTGTGCTGGATGGAATCTTGCCATCCCTGCTTCCCGTGAGCTGACAAGGCGGCTTTCCTGGTTTTCCCTGCCTTTCTACTTCATCAAGCAAGATGTCCCTTTCCAGAAACGGGTCTCTTCTGACAACCTGTCCAAAGTACGTGAGATGATGCCTCGCCATCCTTGCCTCTAAAGAGCATTCTGGCTGTCCGTCCTCCAAGACAGAACTGTCTGTCCTTCTGGCTGTCGGTGGTGCTTTCTATATTCTCCACCAGTACCATCCTTCCAATGCACCGATTCTTCTTTGCTCTTTGTAATCAATGCCCAGCTTTCCCGTGCCTACGAGGACAATTAAAATACCAGGGCTTGGGTCCAGTGTCTTCAATGTCAGATTTACCCAGGGCGACAAAGGCATTGTTCAAGCTCTTGACTGCTGTTTCCACGAGCACGGATTGTGGATCCAAGCAAGACGAACCCCTGGGCTACTTCACCCTTGTCTCCGTTTATCATGGTGCTGCCTATTCGCCGGTTGTGAGGATCTCCCTTGTCCTTGCATTGAGTCGGAATCCATCCGGAAGGCCGCCACCCTTGAGCTTCATCAGCAAGTGCTTCAGGTCCTTCTCACTTTCAGCCAGCGAGGCTGTGTGCTCTGCCTGTCACAGGCTGTCAATACACCCTCCTCCCATCCTGATGCCACACGCTCCTTCATGCAACCCAGCTTCTCAGACTTCACACACACACATGGAAGCAGTCACACTTCCTATTCATGTAAAGGAATGTACTCGGGTAACACAGTCGCCCCTAAGGAGTTAAGCATATATTTCCCAAGACCCAAGGATGTTTCCTGCATGACCACCTTAAAACCATTACATGTATGCAGTGCAGAATCTCATATATGGTATATATGCAGGGGCTTCAAAAATTCGTGGAAAAATCCCACTGCCCTCCGAATTCTATCCCCCACACCCCCGCCCCAAACTTTTTGAAACTCTGTCCTAGATTCAAAAATGTCCAATTCTCCTAATAAGGTACTTCTCCCCCAAACTTTTTGAAACTCTATCCTAGATTCAAAAATGTCCAACTCTCCTAATAAGGTACTTCTAGCTCCTTTCAGGAACCCTGGTGGGGCAGTGTTTATGCCCGCGGCTGCTCCCTGCAAAGCCAGCATGCAGGAGCCGCCAGCGCTCCACAAGAAAGATGAGGCTTTCCACCACCGTCAAGATTTACAGCCTCAGAGCCCCACAGGGGCGGTTCGACCCCGTCACGCAGGACCGCTATGAGTTGAAGTGGCCTCCGTGTAGTGAGCTGGGGTTTCCTGGGAGGTTCTTTCCGTCTCTTCCTGTTCCCTGTTCTTCTCT